ATTTTACATTTACATTTCTTGATGTGAGTTTAGCTTTTTTCTTTTCATAAATTATGTAAGAACTGGGTGGATCTTCTAATCTGAAAGCTCACATCCTACGGTTCTGGGAAGTTTTCTTGCCTCATTTGTTTGATGACTTTCTTCTCTCTGTTCTCTCTGATTTTCTCATTAGTGGATGTTGAGCCTACTGGACTGATCTAATTTCTTTTGATCTTTCCTCTCCTACTTTTCATTTCTTTTTTTCTGTATTTTAAAACATTTCTCAGTGCTGTCTTCCAACTTTTTATTGATTTATTTATTTCTATTTAATTTTTGTTTCATTAGAGATAGGGTCTTGCTATGTTGCCCAAGCTGGATTCTAACTCCTAGGCTCAAGTGATCCTCCTACCACAGCCTCCTGAGTAGCTAGGACTACAGGTCTAACTAACTTTTAACTTTTAAATTTTGTTTTTTATTTTGTGATTTTTTTTTTCTTTTTTGAGGCAGAGTAGTACTCTGTTGCCCAGGCTGGAGTACAATGGCTCAATCTGAGCTCACTGCAACCTCTGTCTCCCCAGTTCAAGCGATTCTCCTGCCTCAGCCTCCCAAGTAGCTGGGATTACAGGCATGCGCCACTACGCCCATCAATGTTTTTGTATTTTTAGTAGAGACAGAGTTTCACCATGTTGGCCAGGCTGGTCTCAAACTCCTGACCTCAAAGGATCCACCCACCTTGGCCTCTTAAAGTGCTGGGAATACAGGCATGAGCCACCACACCTGGCCTTATGATTAGTATCTTAATGTATCTATTTACTCTTGGTTTATAAAGAAAACAAAACATTCTATGACCTCCTAAGTCATTCATTATAGTTTTAAAGTTTGTTGTTTCTGTTTACCATTTTCTGTTGTTGTTGTTAACATCTGTTATAACAAAGACTCTGATGAGATGTCAAGTGATCCTGCCTTTCTTTTCTTATTTTACAGTAGGATTGCCTTACATAAAAGGATGAAGCCTTACAACAGGCATGCTATACTAATAGTTAACGAGCAGAACTCAGTCATTTTGAGGGTACCCCCAGCTGTCAGATCTATCAGCCCTTTCCTTAGGCTGAATAATTTTCTCTAAGTAGATTCTTTAAACTCTTGCTTATAGGAGTAAGAGAGGGGTAATGGAGCTGGAAAGTCATTCCATTTCATATGCGGCCTTGATATCCTCTGTCCAAGGTCACCTCTATGAACCACAGTTCATCTTCTCCAGGGAGTAAACCTCCCATATTGTGCCAGATGAGAAAGGGCAGTCGCTGGTTGTGCACAGTTGAAGAAAGGATCTGGGGACATACCTGCTAACTGCATCCCTTCTGCTCAAATCCACCTCCAGCCATCAGAAATGCCTGTTCCCTCCAATTCCTGAGTCTCTGGGGCTCCTGACTACACTGCATTCTTCTGCTCTCACCACCCCCACCCACCTCATGTGGGAGGTTGGGTCTCAGCTTTGCCCCACTTACTCTGTCAGTTACCATTAGCCATCCTGTTTCCATCTTCCAAAATTTTGTACAAGTCTCTTCCCTGATCATCACCTCACCTACTTTTTTCTCTCTATTCCTTTCCTATCATTTTAATAAGGTTTCAGGAAGGTTGACATATAAATGGTGTGTTCAAGCCATCATGCTATACCACACAGCAATATTGGGGTATGGGTTCTTCCCTGAGTATGCCGCATTACTGTTCCTTGTACCCACCCCCCTCAACCAAGTGCGCTTCTTCTGTTCTCCTGCCTGGTCCACCCTTATCCCTCTCCTAATTTCAATTTTCCTTTTTTTTTTTTCTTTTTTGAGACAGAGTCTCGCTCTGTCACCCAGGCTGGAGTGCAGGGGCATGATCTCAGCTCACTACAAACCTCCACCTGCCAGTTTCAAGCAACTCTCCTGTCACATCCTTCCAAGTAGCTGGGACCACAGGCACATGCCACCATGACCAGCTACTGTTTTTGTATTTTTCAGTAGAGACAGAGTTTCACCACATTGGCCAGGCTGGTCTCAAACTCCTGACCTCAGGTGATCTGTCCGCCTCAGCCTCCCAAAGTGCTGGGATTACAGGCACGAGCCACCACATCTGGCCCCCTAGTCTTCAATTTTCTATCCCTTAATGATCCTTCAGGCATTATCTCAAACAAAAATTTTTCTCAGACCTGCCCTGCACATCTTGCATGAGTGTCCAGCCAGCACATACCTTGTGCTATACTGACCTGCTTGTATATCTGTCTTCCCCCCAGACAAGAAGTAAGTAGGCAAGGACTGTGCTTCATCAAATGATCTAGCTCTAGTGTGGAGAAAACCATCTGGCACATGATAGTACTTGCTCAACCGGCTCATTTCTAGTAACCTCGTTTTGGAGGCATTTTCATTCTCATAGAAGTACAAAAAAACAGGGCCATGTTTATTTGCCAATGTCCGAATAAGAAAGGCTAATCAGAGAGCATCAGCAAATAAAAACAGACAGATGTTTCGGAGAGCAAAAGTCCAGGGACACAAAATAGCTTCCAGCAGGGGTGAGGTATGTTTCTAGTGGTTCTAAATGAATATATGCTTATTTGGTAGAGAGAGACACTTGACAGGTTTCTCAGCTAATGCTGCAAATTTAAATCCATTTAAGATAATTTTCTTTATCTTGAATCTATTTTTCTCAGTAACTGAGACACTTTACTGATTTGTAAAAAAATTCATTTGACAAATAAATAATCTACTTCAAGCAAGGACCACTCTAAATAGAAAAAGAGAGATGACACAAATCTAATAGAAAATGGAGAATCGGTTTGAGAAGCCAAGGTGGAGAGAAAACATAGGAGCTTTCTCTCCAGCATCTTGACACTATGTCCAGCCTCTTTTGTCTATTTTATAAGCAGGAAATAAGTAATTCTTAAATCTGAGAGCACAGAACAAAGACCTCTCATGATCCAACCAAAATGCACACAAGTAGTTTCTAGACAGTGTCTCACTCTCTTGCCCAGGCTGGAATGCAGTGGCACCATTATAGCTTACTGCAGCCTCAACCCCCTAGGCTCAGGTGACCCTCAGCCTCCGGAGGAACTGGGACTATAGGAAAGCACCACCACACCTGGCTAACTTATGGTTTTTGTAGACACAATGCTTTGCCATGTTGCCCAGGCTGATCAACTCCTGGGCTCAAGCGATCTTCCCAAAGTGCTAGGATTATAGATATGAGTCACTGTACTCAGCCCCAAGCTTTTCAAAAGGCAAGAATTTCATACAAAAAAAGTGCAAGTTGACACAATAACCTATCAGTTTGGCATTTTTTATATGCTAGTACCCAGTATTGGAAGGGTCTAGTAAAATTCTAATAAGAGTAGAATTACTATAGATTTTCTGGAGGAAAATATTACAATATATATCAAAAATCTCCAAAAATATCCCTCTACTACACACCTTTGGAAGTGCGGATTCAGTCATGGGTCGCGCCTGTAATCCCAGCACTTTGGGAGGATGGGGTGGGTGCAGACCAGCCTGACCAACATGGAGAAACCCTATTTCTAGTAAAAATACAAAATTAGCTGGGCGTGGTGGCACGTGCCTGTAATCCCAGCTACTTTGGAGGCTGAGGCAGGAGAATCGCTTGAACCTGGGAGGCGGAGATTGTGGTAAGCTGAGATCGCATCATTGCACTCCAGCCTAGGCAAAAAGAACGAAACTCCGTCTCAAAAAAAAAAAGAAGTGTGGATTCAGAAAATAAATATCAAATCAAATATAAATACCAAATATAAAGATATGACCGAAATAATACTCAATAGAATCTTATATATAATAATGAAAAATTGAAAATAACCTAAATTTCCAAGAATGGAAACAGATCATTATTAATAACATCAGAAAACACTCACGATTTAGTGTTAAATAAGTGATATATCATCCACTCCTAATCTGCATAGAAAATAGACTCAAAGACAGCATACTAAAACTTCAATAGCTGCTGTCCCCAAATGATGAGATTATGGTGAGTTTTTTTTTAGAAAAATGCAAATCAAAACCATAATGAGATACCATTTCAACCAATCATAAAGGCTATTACTAAAAAGTCAAAAGAAATGACAGATGCTGGAGAGGTTGCAGAGAAAAGGGAACGGTTATACACTGCTCATGAGAATGTAAATTAGTTCAGCCATTGTAGAAAGCAGTTTGGTGATACTTCAAAGAGCTCAAAGCAGAACCATTTGACCCAGGAATCCCATTATTGGGCACGTACCGAAAGGAATATAAAGTGTTCTGCCATAAAGACACATGGACAGGTATGTTCATTACAGCACTATTCACCATAGCAAAGAAATGGAATCAACCTAAATGCCCAGCAACAGTAGACCAGATAAAGAAAATGTGGCACATATACACTGTGGAATACTATGCAGCCATAAAAAAGAATACCATCATGTCCTTTGCAGCAACATGGGTGGAATTAGAAGCCATTATCCTAAGCAAACGAACTCAGGAACAGAAAACCAAATACCATAGTCCTCACTTATAGGTAGGAGCTGAACACAGAGTACACATGGACGCAAAGAGGGGAATGACAGACATGGGGCCTACTTGAAGGTGGAGGGAGGGAGGAGGGTGAGAATCAAGAAACTACCTATCAGGTACTATGCTTATTATTTGGGTGATGAAATCATCTGTACACCGAACCCCTGTGGCAAGCAATTCACCTATAACACAAATCTACATGTTCCCCTGACCGTAAAATAAACATTGAAAGAATAATAATAAATAAAGTACAACATAAAGCTTTTTGTAATGAGGCCCTTTCTATATGTTTCTGGAACACTTTTACAACAACTTTTTTGTTTAGCTAATCTTTCATAAGCAACAGGAATACTAAGTTTATTTATTGATGAGGAAATGAAAATAAAAACTCCCCTAAGAGCTACAAATAACAATGGAAAATATCACAGACTTAGGGTCTACACCCACTCTTACCATCCATCACTCTCCCCGAATGACTGAACCCAAACTTACTTGGTGGGACGATAATCCGGAATGGAACGGTCCAGTGAAATTTTTTCACTAAGGTAGGAATTGTAGCCATATTTCTCATGGGGCCCCTTGGCCTTCTCTTCCTCAGCGGGGGAAAGAGTAGCCGGAAGGCCCCCTTTGCCCCGCCCACCATAACCTTCGATGAGCCCAAGGGATTTTGATAAGCCTAGAAAAAGCAGGAGAAAAAAAGAATTATTAGAAAACTGCCATAAGAGGATGTATCACTCAATCTCCACTATAGCTTCAATAGACATTTTAACATTACCGGTCAAAAAAAAAAAATGATGTCCTCAATTTATCCAACTCAGGTATAGGCTGCGAAAACATTTCTATTGAGAGGAAGGTCAAGGCCACAGAGAGTTATTGGGTTAAAGTCTGGTTACCAATTACAATCCTCTCCCTCCGTCTCGGCCAAAAAATACAAAAATTAGCTGGGCGTCATGGTACACGCCTGTAGTCCCCAGCTACTTGGGAGGCTGAGGCAGGAGAATCTCTTGAACCCAGCAGATGGAGGTTGCAGTGAGCCGAGATCGCACCACTGCACTCCAGCCTGGGCATCAGAGCAAGACTCTGTCTCAAAAACAAAGCAATCCTCTCTCTCCTTTTGGGAACTGGGGTGAGATTGGGGTCTGTAAGAGGGAGAGACCATCTAAACTGGGAGAAATGGGGACCAGAGAGGACACAGGACATGAGACAGAACCGGGGTCATTATTCATGCCTATTTCCCTGTTGCTAGGAGGAACTACAGCAAGAGGGAGTAGAATAAAGACCCAAGTCACAGATCACTGCCAAACTGCAGGTGCTTTTGCTTCATTTGAACAGAAAGCGACATACAGATTGATTTTCACCCTGAGTTTAAATGGTCCAACATTCTGACACAGCTCTTTCTCTAATGGTTTTATTTAAATTTTATCTAAATGGCAACAGGAAATACAAAATGTCTGAGAATAAATCACAGAGGAAAAGAAAAAAACCCGCAAGGGTGATAACCGTGCCAAGTAGAGTTGGAGGCCTCTGCAACAAGCCTCACTGAGCAATGCAAGCTCCCAGGATGGTGGCAGCTTAAACCTATTATTCCATTAGAGGATAAACAGCTTGATGGGCAATTTTTAAATCCTGGAGTTATGGGAGGCTTTACTACTTAGCTAGAAAACTTTCGTTGTTAAGGGTCCTCATGGCCTTCTGCCATTTCAAATGTTCCAGCTACTCAGCACATACAGACACACACACAGACAAACAGACACAGACACACACAGACACACACAGACACACACACACACACACACACACACACACACACAACCACTTGATCCATTTAAATGATGAATAACCAATATCCAGCATTTCATTGCTGCCACTGACAGAAAGAAGACAGACCAGGCTCCTTGGCTCTTGGCTTTCACAGTCTGGGCAGCCCGAGGCACCCAGAAGGATCCACACTTTCCGAGAAGACATCCCCTAAGCAAGTTAAGAGCCAAGAAATCTGCTCCAGTTGTGAGATAGTTCCCCATCACCTAGTGGCAAAGCTTGTATTCTCTCTCCTGCCGCTCTGAAAACAGAAATTTATTTTCTGTAATATCAAGATCGAAAGCAAAGGTTGAGTGAGCACCTCAGTCAATGTCAGATGAGCATCATTTTTCTGCCTGAGAATCATTTCCTCCGTCCAATACGCGCTTCCATCTTTTCTTGCAGCCATCATCTCCATAGAGGCCCTATCAGGGGAGAATCAGGGTACTCCAGCACTTTCTATCTGCTCCCTCATCTTGAATCTGATCCACACCAATGTGTAACAAGTATTCCAATGGCATCCCCTGAACTGTCCTCAGAACTCTACAAGGACTCTTCATGTGTTGAGTACAAATACCTGTGCTTGGTTTTAAAATCACTTGTGACGCAGCATTACTAGTGGGAATGTACAGTGGTGCCGCCACTTTGGAAAACAGCTGGGTTTTTCTTCAAAATGCTAAATATAGGCTGGGCGCAGTGGCTCACACCTGCAATCCCAGCACTTTGGGAGGCCAAGGTAGGTGGATCACCTGAGGTCAGGAGTTGGAGACCAGCCTGGCCAATATAGTGAAACTCCGTCTCTACTAAAAATACAAAAATTAGCCAGGTGTGGTGGTGGGCAACTGTAATCCCAACTATTCGAGAGACTGAGGCAGGAGAATTGCTAGAACCCAGGAGACAGAGATTGCGGTGAGCCAAGATCCCGCCACTGCACTCCAGCCTGGGTGACAGAGCGACATTGTCTCAAAAACAAAAAATGCTAAATATAGTAACCATATGACCCAGCAATTCCACTCCTAGGTATAAACCCAAGAAAAATGGAAACATTCGTCCCCACAAAAACTTGTACACAAATGTCCACAGCTGCATTATTCTTATTAGTTAAAATGTCCATCAACTGATGAATGGAAAAACAAAATACAGTATCTCCCAAAATATAGTATATAAAAACAAAACATAGCATATTATATTGACCAATGGGATATTGGGCAATATAAAAGAATGAAGTAGTGAGCCAAGCTATGACGTGAGTGAACCTTGACTTGAAAATGTTATGCCAAGTAAATGAAACTAGTCACAAAAGACCATGTAGTGATTCTATTTATGTGAAATGTACAGAAAAGTTGAATCTGTAGAACCTGAATGTAGATCCGTGGTTGCTTAGGGAAGGGGGGACTTGGGGAGAAAATGGAGAGTGACTGTTAATATGGATAGGGCCTCTTCCTGGAGTAATGGGAATGTTACAGCATTAGATCATGGTGATGGGTGCACAAATTTGTGGAGATACTAAATAACCACTAAACTGTACACTTTTAAATAGATGAATGATATGAGCTCTGTAAAATATCTCAATATGGCTGGGCGCGGTGTTTCGTGCCTATAATCCCAGCACTTGAAGCGGCCGAGGTGGCCAGATTACTTGCTGCTTGAGGTCAGGAATTTGAGACCAGCCTGGCCAACACTGTGAAACCCCATCTCTACTAAAAATACAAAAATTAGCCCAGGGTGGTGGCACGCACCTGTAATCCCAGCTACTCAGGAGGCTGAGGCAGGAGAATTGTTTGAACCCAGGAGGCGGAGGTTGCAGTGAGCCGAGATTGTGTCACTGCACTCCAGCCTGGCAACAAAGCAAGACTTTGTCTCAACAACAATAACAACAACAACAACAAAAACCCTCAATACAGTTGTTAAGAAAAAAACACTTAGGATAGACAATTCTATTCACAGCAAGAGGAAAGGCTACCCAACATAAAAAATTTCTAGCAAAATCCCTGAAATGCTCAATAAAACAATTTTAAAATATTTAAAATACATATCTGATCTTGCAAGAATGAAAGGGAAACTCCTAGAGGTAAGTTAAAATCAGACTTGAGTCTATTTCTGCTCTCAGAGAGAGGGATAGGATGGGTTGCTGCAGTTTCAGAGCTCAAGCGTGCACAGGATATGAGATTTGGGGTTCTCTTGAGAAATATCATTGAAACTGAAATATCTGCAAAAGTTTTAGGCCCCTGAAAGACTGAAATTTTTTTTTTTTTTTTTTTTGCAAATCCAAGGAACAGCATAATGAGACAAACAAGAAGATGGCCTCTGGGTGTGCTCAGAGTCAGGGTGAAAACATCCCAACCCAGGACTTGAGACTACACATGTGTTTGTCTAAATTGACATGGTCTCCAGAGGTCAGAGAATTGCCATTGAAGATTACAAGCTCTTCAAAGAGTACTCAAGACAATAATGGAAACACAGTCATAAAATCTAATTTTTAATATTTTATATGGAGGAAGGAGCCCATCTAGGCAAAAGTGTCTCAGCCCACAAAAGTCCATCTGCAGCCCTGGGTCCCTTGAGTTCAGCTTTTCATCTAGAAGTGACACATTAAGAAGGAAGGTAACAAGCTCTGAAGCATGGCCGATAACAGCACAAAGGCTGACCCCAGGAACAACAGTAATGACAGCGACCATTTATTGGGTACCACTGTGTGGTGGGCACTCAGCGAAATGTTTCACATTTATTCTACCGTTGTTTCCTCTAACCTCCTGACCAGCTCACGGGGAAGGTATTATTACAACCTCTGTTTCACAAATGAGGACACTGGCCGAGCGCGGTGGCTCATGCCTGTAATCCCAGCACTTTAGGAGGCCAAGGCGGGTGGATCATGAGGTCGGGAGTTCAAAACCAGTCTGGCCAACATGGTGAAACCCCATCTCTACTAAAAATACAAAAATCAGCTGCGTGTGGTGGCGCATGCTTGTAATGCCAGCTACTCAGGAGGCTGAGGCAGGAGAATCGCTTAAACTGGGACCTGGGAAGCGGAGGTTGCAGTGAGCTGAGATTGAGCCATTGCACTCCAGCCTGGGCTACAGAGCATGTCTCCATCTCAAATAAAATAAAATAAAATAAAATAAAATAAAATAAAATAAAATAAATGAGGATACTGAGTCTGAGAATGTAGGAACGTAGGAACTTTTTCTTTTAAGGGATAGCCTCACTCTGTCACCTTGGCTAGAGTGCAGTGGTGTGATCAGGGCACACTCACTGCAGCTTTGAACTCCTGGGTTCAAGCAATCCTCCTGCCTCAGCCTCCCAAATACCTGGAATTGCAGGTGCATGACACCAACCTAGCTAATTTGTTTTAAAAAATTTTGTCGAGATGGGGTCTTGCTGTGTTGCCCAGGCTGGTCTCAGACTCCTGGCCTCAAGTGATCCTCTCACCCTGGCCTCCCAAAATGCTGGGATTACAGGTGTGAACCACCACACCTGGCCAAATGGATTTTCCCCTTCCCTTCCCCAGTACTTGCTAACTTCTCCTCACAAGCCACACAGTCCCCAAAGGGTCAAGGCAAAAGACTCTATCAGAATGGGACAGAATTCTTGACCTTTGACTTAACTTGGCAGCTCCCATAGAAAAACTTCTGATTCTTCCTCTGACTTGATCTGTGTGGTTTGGTTGGCTTGTCTTTTTCTTCACTTGATGATACAGCATGTCTTTTGTTCAGTCTAAATAGATAGCTTCCAATCCAAGTCATTAAATTTCACCTTAGAGCTAAAATGCATTTCAGCTGTGTTTACCAAGCACACTGCCCTGGGCAGCCTTTCCAATGCAGTCAGAGGGGCCAGAAGAATTTTTTTTAATAAAATGGTATAGAAATTAAGACCAAGTAT